TGGAAACGTAAAAAATAAAAAATTCTAATATTTCTAAATAACAAAAGGCACCAGTTCAGCCTGTACCTGACATGAGTTATGCTCCGGAAACGAACCCTACCCTCACAGACCTAAGTCCATCTTGTTGCCATGGAAACGTAAAAAATAAAAATTTCGAAAATTTCTAAATAGCAAAAGGCACCAGTTCAGCATGTACTTGATAGACGGTTTCTGAGTTATGCTCCGGAAACAAAACGTGACGTACGGACGGGCGGAGCCCGTTTCTATATCCCCCGCCAACTTTGTTGTGCGGGGGATAATAAGTCAGTACTAGATCAAAAGTGACCGGAAATCCTTTACTTACGAAACCTGAGTTTCGAGCGACCACCCAGATGCGAACTGACCCGTAAAACGGCTTAACGAATCCTTGGGGTAAAGACACAAGATCCTGACATGGGAGTATGTATATACTTGCGTGCGACCTCGGACAGGACAATCTCTCCTAGGCAGCCAGGGAATACAATAGTCTGGGGCGCTTAGCCAAACTGTGTTCTTTAACATGGGAAAACACGAACAGCAAACTAACTACTAGATCCATGTAGTATCACAATAAAGCGTTGAACAGAAGCTATCCAACGGTATCATTAAAGATTTACAAAAAGCTATGTGCAATTATTGAGGAGGCAAAAACGATCATAGAAACATTCAAAATATCTGAACGTACATGGACATTTCGCGCTACAGCATTAAATTAGTCTCAATTAGTCACAAAATCATGGCTAAGGCAGCAAATACATAAGAGATATAATACATCAAATAAATTCGTGGTAAGTGTGAGTGAGTGAGTTGTGTTTACAGCCTCTTTTAACAGTATTCCAGTTATATCGCGGCGTGTCAGCTTAATGTGGGAGGAAAGCCCGAAGTGATGCTGGTCTCAGACGTTTACCACTTTGGTGAAACCCACGAGCACGTGTATGGCGCTGACAAAGCTAGAAACATAATTTGGGCGAACCGGGATTCGAACCCACAATCATAGGTTTACCGAACATCAGATAATGTATTTGTTCTTTAAACATTAAAATATTCTTCAAAAAAGTAAAAAGGAAAGACTAAACACTTGCTTTGTAGACTTTCAAAAAGCCTTTGATTCAGTTGACAGATCACTACCCCTAACAAAGATATTATCAAATATAATCTGAGGAAATGTATCAAAAATACTATCAGCACTATATAATAATATCTCTTATGAAGTGAAAACTGACAAAAGCAATCCTTTCACAATCCTTTAACTACAACATCTGGGTAAGACAAGGATGCATTTTGCCTCCAACATTATGTAATATGTTCATCAATGATCTTCCACATTATATCAAACCTGAAAGTAATAAGATAACACTTAATGGTTTAAACATTTGTCATTTGTTGTTTGCCAATGACTAAGTACTATTTGCCGATTCCCCCCCCAAAAGTGTTACTTGAAACAAGTATTTTGTGCAACAAATAACCTAAAGATAAATGGTGACAAAACAAATGTTGTAGTGTATGGTAAATCAAGTAAAATAGAAGAAAAGAATACTTGGACTGTGTTTGATACAAAAATACTAGTTATGTATAGATTTACTTTCTTAGGCATTACACTTGAGGCAAATGGTAAACTTAAAAATAGTGCTAAACCTCTCCTGAAAAAGACCCTAAGGCCTGTCACAAGCTTCAGTCTCCATTTTAACAAAGACATGCATGTAGGTCTTACATGCAAATTATTCAAAACATTAATCGAGCCAGTAATCTTATATAATAGCGAAATCTGGGGTATAGAATCAATCCCCCTGAACAACTCTGATTCATTCATCCTCGAGAAACTGCAGCTCAAATTTGTACATCCATGAGTGACCAATTTGCAAAGCATGCATACCGCCAACTGGGCGTCGGCAGATATTTTGCAAATCTTTTCAGGTTCTTAATTGAGGTGCTCAAGTGATGTAATGCACTTCGCAAGGTAAGGCCCATACACCCATGCACCCAGTCGCAGTGTTTGTTTGTTGTTTAAGCTGCACTCAGCAATATTCCAGCTGTATGACGGCGGTCTGTAAAAATAATCGAGTCTTTACCAGACAATCCAGTGATTGACATCATGAGCATCGATCCACGCAATTGGGATCGATGACATGTATCAACCAAGTCAGCGAGCCTGACCACCCGATCCCGTAAGTCGCCTTTTACGACAAGTATGGGTTGCTGAAGACCTATTCTACCCCGGAATCTTCACGGGTCCGCAGTCGCAGTGAATAGGTAACACTGATTGCATGGTTTGCGTCCCTGTTGCGTCGGTATGTAGCTGACATCCGACATCTCCAATTCAATAAACATCTCCTGCCTTTAGATTGCTGATCGTTTACATAAAAACCACCATCAGGGCGTGGGAAGAAATCTCGAATGTGATGCACATAACTTCAGCAAATTATATATTTAAATTAAAATATAGGTGCAAGCAGCAATGGCGAGTTCTAAGTGTTTGTTTGTTTGTTTGTTTGTTTGTTTGTTTAACGCCGCACACAACAATATTCCAGCTACATACAGGCGCCGTGCCTCTTTGTAACATGCCCATTGACCGTCCAGTCATAACAAGTTGTAAGCATTGCAACTTTCATCTTCGTATTGTGGGTAGAATTCCTTCAACAACACTCAACATGAGACACCCAGTGTGGACATGGCTGGTTTGATGCAACAGTCGTCCACTAGGAACATGTATATACAATAAAACATACACCTACGATGGCTGAAAATTCAGAATCTGGTCGCATCATTGCCAGAAACAAACACAAGAGTACATTACACCAACATTAAATACAAGCAACAAAACCCTTTCCATAATAAAACAATCTCCATTGTACAATTGCGTTAATCCCCCTCAGAGTAAGGTTTGTTTGGTTTGGTTTGTTTGTTGTTTAACGCCACACTCAGCAATATTCCAGCTATATGACGGCGGTGTGTAAATAATCGAGTCTGGTCCAGACAATCCAGTGATTGACATCATGAGCATCGATCCACGCAATTGAGATACGATGACATGCATCAACCAAGTCAGCGAGGCTGACCACCCGATCCCGATAGTCGCCTCTTACGACAAGCATAGTCGCCTTTTACGGCAAGCATAGTCACCTTTTACGACAAGCATAGTCACCTTTTACGGCAAGCATGGATTGCTGAAGATCTATAACTGGAATATTGCTGCAATAAGTGCGGCGTCAAACAACAAACAAACAAACAAACAAACAAACATCAGAAACTGTGCTCTACATGTTCAACCATCAAGCTGTGTGGGTCAAGTAATGGGGAAAACCTTGTTTGTTTACAGTAGTAACCTCATACATTCTTGCTTAGTTCCGTACTGAGAGGAATATCTGGAGGGTGGGAGGTGTCATACAATTTTCAGGATAACACTTTTTACTGCTTCTGTGAGATCCTCAAAGATATAGGAACCTTCCTTGCATTTGGTCTGGGACTATGACTCTGAGTATGAAGGACATTTATCTAGACAACATATTTCTTTTACTCTTCCTATCAGGTATAAAATATTGATAATTATAGGATGACATAAGAAAAGTATCCGCACTATGTATTTTTTTTCAGTTATGCAAGTTTCTATTTGTATATCCATTCTGTCTATCTTCAATCTGTCTAGATATTAACAGAATGGCGTCCGCGGTGTACACGAAGACACAATCACGGGTCGGAGAGCTTCTAACTGTAACGCTCTGATTACTTTAGGTGTCAGTGCATGGGGTATGCTTGACCTTTGTTATGAGAGTTATGCGTTTTGGGTTACGTTGTTGACAGTCTAATCGCATTTTCGTTTGCAAATTTGATCAAACTGCGCTGACTATACTGACGTATAATATACCTGCCTGCGATGACTGCTCTGTGCAGGTTTCAGATGAGATCTGAATGAAAAATACATAAACAAATTCACATAGATATCCTCGATTATAGAGTTCATTATTTTATGCTAACTATTTATCAGCATATAACGGACGTACAATAAACTTGATAATCGAGGGTGCCTCATGTACTTTGACCCAGAACATGTTTTATTCGATTTAAATATTTGAAAGTAGTTCTTTAGCTTTATCGCGGCGCTCTATGCGATGTAGACGTGGGTAGTATGGCAACAAGTGGTCCACAGCCTGAGCACAGATCCACAGAGGGAAGAAGCGTACGTACACTGGTTCTACCATCACTGGCTATTTACTTGTCCCCAGCACAATTTAGTGGTCTTGGGCTTGCAGACCAGTGCAAATTTCGAAGTCTCTCTCTCTCTCTCTCTCTCTCTCTCTCTCTCTCTGTGTCTCTCTGTGTGTGTGTGTGTGTGTGTGTGGGGGGGGGGGGGGGGGAAGAAATAATCTACCCTCCTCACCCCCACCCACTCCCCCAGCCAATCCAACAAAGTATTTATTTTTTGAGCGCCATCAAACAATCTATTCATTGTCACTATGAACACAAATGTTTGACGTATTTGGGTATTTTTCACAAAGAAAAACTATTCATTTTTGTTCACCACTGCCAACTAAGTAACTATTCATTTGGGACATATTTCTAACTTTTCATTTAAAATAGTCTTTCGTTTCACTGGTGTCTCAGTATTGAAGAGTAAGTCAGTGTGCGTGCGTGCGTGCGTGCATGCGTGCATGCGTGAGTGAGTGAGTCAGTGCACGTTCATTTTTAAGTGGTAGTTACAAAATATGACGGTCTTTTCGGTGTACCTATTTTCATCACAAGCACAACCCATTTCTAACCTATCCCCAATTACGTACCGAAACCTTTGATAGCTAGGAAAGCATCCTTTACACATTCAGAAGCTTTTCAGAAATTGAGATGCTTGATTGCCAGCAACATGACAGCCTCAGGTCAAACCAATATCCAAAGTAAGCCTACCCAATAACCTTGAAACTGTGTCAATAACATCACAGGGATAACGACTATTTTTAGATTTTCAAAACTAGGTAAGCTAGACTGTGTCGCTAAAACGCATCCCGTATATTGTCAAGTTTGCATAGTGCTTCTATCTCGCTTGAACAATGTCTCGCTCCGACTTCACTCCCGGTATGGAGCATGTCAACGTCGCTTTTAGCGACAGCGAAGGGGATGTCACAACTCTGAAACAACGCCAGATCGACACCAACAAAAGCGATGTGTATGGAGTATGTTGTGCCTCGTCCGGACACGTCCCCACCCAGACCCCCGTGGGGGAGGAGGATGACAACGCCCATGTGAAGGCTTTGGGGCTGGAATACGGGGTGGATGATGTGCCCCCACCCCACTTGTGCCTTGTGTTCGGTCTACAGGTGAGTTTAAAACGATGCGAATAATTTGTTAGATAACAATTTTCTTGTTGTTTTTCTTTAATACATTGTTTAAGAAATACAGTTTTTCTCTACCCCCAATGTTTACTGTAAAGTGTCCTCGTGCTTTAACTGTAATAGTTCAAGGAAAAACTATTAAATATTACGCTACACTTGGGGTAGAGCAAATTTCATTACTTTTCTAGGATGCCGAATTTAAGACGTACCTTGTTTTGTTTTTTATTTGAAATCATTTTATTAATTAAAAACCCTCGAACAGAACCAGCTAATGGGCTGTTCCACCTAATTGCCTGCACCCTTATGTTAAGGGACAACCTATTTATTAATTTACTTTCAAACATAATAAGGCACCCATGACATAGGCGGTTAATGGTTAAATAAGCCAATAAGTAGGATTTAAAGTTAATATTTTATATAAATTTGGTTCGGTTTAATCACGGGACCAGACACGTTCCTCAAGTGCATTGTGCGGTCGAGCTCTCACTTCAACATAGCCGTTCTGTGTCACTGGTTACTGGGTTTCATTTAATGTGTCCAACGTCTTTAAGGGACAGTGGGGTAGCATTGTGGCTAAAGCGATCGCTCGTCACACCGAAGGCCCGGGTTCGATTCAACAATGTCAGACAGTATAATTTATGTACATGATAATTACAGCATTTCCATGTCTGTGTAGTTCTGTACAAAATAAATATCACAACACTCTCTGTGCAATGGGTGGAGGTCATTTATGGTGTCCCCCGCCGTGATATATTGCTGAAATATTGCTAAAAGCGGCGTAAAACCATACTCACTCACTAATGTTCGCAGACTGCAACAACTGCAAGATACGGATGCGAAGTATGGGGACTTGAAAACATCTCAACTCTAGAAGGTGTACATTTGCGTTTTCTAAAATATCTTTTATCATTAAGAAAATGCACCCAAATTTCATGGTACATGGGGAACTTGGGAGACTCCATCTGTCAAACATCGTCAAAATGAGAATGATTAGTTTTGGGGCAAAATTTCTTTCCGGGAAATCATCTAAATTGTCCTTTCTTGTATACAAGTTGTTGTTTAATGACGACCTATTTGGAAAATGTAAGCATAAATGGATTACATATATCAAACGAACTTTTGATGAACTTGGACTTAGCTACATTTGGTTTTCGCAAAGTTTCAAAAATCTCACATACCCAAACATCTAGTCCATGAAAAATTAAATGACATTAACCTGCAGTGTTGGACCAGTGCAAGGGATAAGTCTTCAAAAGGCATAATGTATATTATCATAAAAAAAGATTGCCTAAATTTAGAATATTATTTAAACGTACTGCAGGAAAACGCTTGGCGAGTCTTACTTAAGTTTAGAACTTGTAATCATAATCTATCTATTGAAACTGGGAGATGGAGAAATATGCCTGTAACCGAAAGGAAATGCCAACTTTGCAAATTATCTGACATAGGTGATGAATTCCAATATTTTGTTTATTTGTCAATCTTAAGAAAACGAAAGAAAACATTTTTTACACAGATTCTACTACGTCAAACCCAACATGCATAAAATGAATTTACATTTCAAAAATTCACGACTAGAAACATTGAGAAAACTGTTCAAATTCTGTAAAATCATCCTGTAATTGTTTAAACCTATCAAGATCTCCCTCTTTTTGAATGCACATATATTGCTACCCTAGTGAATCTGTATTAATATGCATGCATGCTCGGCCAAGTTGTTTTTGTATCTATTCTATATATGTATATGTATATGTATTATGTTGTTGAAATGATTTTGTACCTGTGATGCCGCTGACAGCGGTCTGAGTGTAAATAAAGTTCAGATCAGTTCAGTTACAAAACATGATTCTGTAACCGGCAATTGCAACGGACGAAAAGCGATGGCTTGGGGAGTGAACTGGCGGAGGAAAAGCAACAGCGGTGGTTATGTTTGACTGCAGGATGTTGCTGAATATCCAAGCCTGAGCAACAGGTGAAGGGTCTCAACGGGTCCAAAAATATGGACTCGAGTACCCGAGGGATAAGACTCGGCTCGTGCTCGAGTACCCGAGGGATAAGACTCGGCTCGTCCTCGAGTACCCGAGGGATAAGACTCGGCTCGTGCTCGAGTACCCGAGGGATAAGACTCGGCTCGTGCTCGAGTACCCGAGGGTTGAGACTCGGCTCGTGCTCGAGTACCCGAGGGATAAGACTCGGCTCGTGCTCGAGTACCCGAGGGATAAGGCTCGGCTCGTGCTCGAGTACCCGAGGGATAAGGCTCGGCTCGTGCTCGAGTACCCGAGGGTTAAGACTCGGCTTCGTGCTCGAGTACCCGCAATTATACATCTGTTCAATAAAATTGGCAATTATCCTGTCGTATGCAAAATGAAAAAGTCACAATAACATCGTAGATCACTGAGAAAACCAATTTGATCGCGTATCAAATATAATAAAATGAAATTTGTATGCTGATTCGCTGAAGCTTCATTGAAATAAGAATTGTTAATTGGGAATAGAAATCGTTTACATCTCAATGTAACACACGCCATGTTCGGGTGAAAAAAATATTGCACACGTGATCGTCACGAGATGTATGTTGCGATTGGTGATTGGTTGGATTTTGGCGGGATGGCTTCTTGGGTATACCTTATATGATACATAAAATCATTTGATGCCAGCGTCGATCGCGAAGGAAATTTTCAATAAATCACAAAATATAGATAATAAGTAAAAAGTAACATTTTCAATGTGATCACAAATTCACAAGTCAGTATTTACCTTTTTCTTAATTGAAAACAAAACATTGAAAGATTACTAGGCTTGTACATTTATAGTTGACTTCTTTAAGACGTATTCCCGACATTTGAAGAGATATATATTAGAATGAGATACAGTAACACAATGTTAATATTCAATAAAGTGATGTCCAGTTATAAATATCTTATGAAAATATTGAATTTATAATGATTAACGTTACGACGCTTATTTAGAATGAATTGGTCTACTGCTTGCGACAGTTTAATAGTTTCGTAAAACATCCCTTTTAAACAAGAAATAAAGTACTTTTTTAAACCAGGAAATATCCTTATGAAATGGTTGTAAATAAGTGTATTGTTTCGAAAAATAACTAAAAGAAAAGCTATTGACACTTTTATTTGATTTAATGGATTACTCATGAATAAGAAAGTTACATAAAGACACGTTTCTATTAACTTATTGAAAGTCGACCAAATTAGAGTTATCTCCCTTGGTCGAGTACTCGCGTCCTTCAAACCGGACTCGAGTCCCGCTAAACTCGGCCCGTGCCCGAGTACTCGTGTATGGGCGGCCATTCGGTCAAAAAATACAAATTTGAAAAAAAGGACAAAAGTACGCAATTAAGGTCAAATATTACGAATAAAGAACTAAATGTTACTACTAAAGGTCAAAATACAATATTAATAGTCAAATGTTACGAAAAAACGTCATTAGAAAGAAAGAACAATGTGTACGAAAGAACGTCAGTGAGCACGAAAGGACGTTTTCAATAAAGAACGTCAGTGAGCACGAAAGGGCGTTGACAATAAAGAACGCCAGATGGCGCTGCAATTTGTAAAACATTCCGAGTTTAATCGGCTTGTTCCGCCTTGTATATGATAACTGCATGCCGAGGTGCACAATGTATTACGTCATTCCTCGTGCACTCACCGTCTGACGTCACACATATATATACATGTATTTATAATGTATAATGTACACATTGTGTATAAACATGTTGCGTTAAGCTTTCTCACCGCGGGCCTTTTCATAAATACAGTATACTGTGTAATCCAACATCTGCCTAACATTGGTACATATATTTTGTATACAACCTTAAAAAAAACACTCACTTAACGCTAAACTAGGATTCATCTACAGTGATCCAATAACTGTTCATGCTTGGTGCAACACGAGGGTGCTATGATGCCGCGTTTTGTTTCTGACGCACATTTCCAACTGAAAAGTCAACGTTGTGCGAGAGTTTGTTTTATTTAACAGCTTTTCGGAAACTGTGTGCGAACAAAATGCTGCCTAATATCTGAACAACAAATATATATACCAAATGGACTGGTATGCATATGTATAACTTACACATTCGTTAGGAAAAATAGCTCGCCATAAAGAAAATCGAGTTTCATCTATGACGCAAGCGTTCGTTTTCAAACCATATTTATTTCGATTGTTTACATCCACATTTATATGTGTGACGTCAGACGGTGAGTGCACGAGGAATGCAGTTATCATATACACGGCGGAACAAGACGATTAAACTCGGAATGTTTTACAAATTTCAGCGCCATCTGGCGTTCTTTATTGAAAACGTCCTTTCGTGCTCACTGACGTTCTTTCGTACACATTGTTCTTTCTTTTCTTATGACGTTTTTTCGTAACATTTGACTATTAATATTGTATTTTGACCTTTAGTAGTAACATTTAGTTCTTTATTCGTAATATTTGACCTTAATTGCGTACTTTTGCCCTTTTTTTCAACTTTGTATTTTTTGACCGAATGGCCGCCCATACACGAGTACTCTTTGAAGCCCTAAACACGTGAACATGTTGTTGTGCAATTTGTGCTGCTCATTTGTGTGGCTTGGGACTTACGCAATTCATTCGCCTCTAGCAAGTATGCTCCACGTGTATCCTGTCGTCGAATATTAAAAATGAATGAGAGGTATTTCACTCTCCTTTATACTTAGATATCCTTGCGGTTAGGGGGCGGTCGGGTAGCCTAGGGGTTACAGCGTTCGCTCGTCACGCCGAAGATCCGGGTTCGATTCGCGACATGGGTACAATACGTGAAGCCCATTTCTGGTGTCCCCCGCCGTAATATTGCTGGAATATTGCTAAAAGCGGCGTAAAACCATACTCACTCACTCACTCCTTGCGGTTAGCCAGGTACCTCTGCTACAGCCCAACGAGATGTAACGATTACACGATGTCTTCACAAATTGTTTATCATATATTTCAGTTTTGAAAAAGCTACACATTTAGATAAACATATGTCATGAAACAGAAGAAAAAATCATCAAAAGTGAAACTATTTGCATTCTCGTATTTATCATTTGTTAACAATGCAGGCATGGAACCCATTCGAATAGCTGGTGATACGTCACTTTAATGTCCACATACATGTGCATATTGTTATATCACCGCTGTCGCGGTTGTTTTGTTTGTTTGGTTGTTTGTTGTTTCCAGCTATATGACAGCGGTCTGTAAATAATCGCATCTGGACCAGCCAATCCTGTGATTGACATCATGAGCATCGATCCAATTGGGATACGATGACATGCATCACCCAAATCAGCGAGGCTGACCACCCGATCCCGATAGTCGCCTGTTACGACAAGCATAGCCGCCTTTTAGGGCAAGCATGGACTGTTGAAGACCTATTCTACCCCGGATCTTTACGGGTCGCGGTTGTAGTATGGTGTATTTATGATTAAACAAAACAACCTGCAAATAAATCCATTAGGACGGGCTACTACGATTTCAGTATCAGGACTGTTGTTCACATACATGAAAAAGACTGGTCACGTGAAATGTACATAAACCTGTGGTGTATAAGTCATCACTGAGCCTGAGTATTGAGATATTTATGCTCTGTCATTCCCCAACATTTGAAAGTAGTTCTCTATTTATATAGAGTATTTCTTAACTAGCTGTTGAAAGCCGTTGTTATGACAACGCCTGTGTACATCTAAAGCCTTAAAAGATACGCTACCTTTAAATAGAATAACACTGCCTTATATTTACATTAAGTAAGCAGACTGTTGAAGAGTAGAAACATTTAATGTAAACCGTGCCCTGTAGTTCATTTGCACTGAAAGAACTTAGTTTTTCTGTCTATTTTAAGAACGGGGCAATAAAAATTTGCTTTAATACATTTGCTTGGAGTGAAGGAAGAGTCTTCGTAAACATCCCAGCTGAAGCGGAAAATATGATGTTTGTTTTGTTTGTTTGTTGTTTAACGCCGCACTCAACAATATTCCAGTTATATGACGGCGGCCTGTAAGTAATCTAGTTTGGGCCAGAGAATCCAGTGATCGATATTGTAAACAACGATCCACGCCATCGGGATACGATGCCACACCATCAACCGGGTCACCGAGCTTGACACCGATCAGTTTGGTCGCCTCTTCTCACAGTATAGGTTGCTGGGGACCTATTCCAACTCGGAATCCCCATGCCGTGGGAAAACTATAAGCTGAACACATTTGCATGCTGTTGATAGTGCTTAATATATTCTTACAGAGAAATATTTGTTTAATTTTCTTAAGTTGTGCGAATTGAGGATCTGTTTCTGATACCGTATTTCCTCTGATAAACCCATCTTCCTTAGGCAAGAGAGTTAACTGACTTTGAAAGTCCAGTTTCCACCCTTGCCGAACTAGGCTGGAATTCCTGGGCTCGATCGTAGCGCCACCAGTTGCTATTACGAGTTATGTCCTTGCTATGCCTCTCCTATTGACCAATCAGATTCAACCTCTCGTATCACTTGCATTTGTTTCAAACAGAACGGTGGCGCCCAGTCAAAGACGATCTGATCGATAATCAAGATCTATATTGTGATAAAACGAGTCTTACATCGCGAAGTGCATCAAATCACGTGAGCACCTTGATTAAAAACATGAAAAGATTTAGTAAATATCTGTTGACAACGAGTTAGCGGTGCACACGCTTTGCAAATCCTGCAGTCGGCCGAAATCTGCATGACACTCTACGAACCGGATTTCGATTTCGGTGCGCGATTTTGATTAGACTATGCATAGACTCGTTGGTCCAGCCAAATTGTAACTCCATAATACCAGCCTAGTTCGGCAAGGGTGGAAACTGGACTTTCATAGTCAGTTAACTCACGTGCCTCGGGAAGATGGATAAACCTTAAGAGAAAATGAGTTCTTGTCTTGTGGTTACTCTGGGTATCGTCAGTAAAATAGACATGTTGAAGAATCTTAATATCAGGGTGCATTTCAGAATCCTAAATTTTGATTGTGGGTTCGAATTTCATTTACAATTGAATATGATTCTCGGTTTGTCAGCATCATACCCTTGCCCCTGGGTTTTACCACAGTTGGAAACATCTCAGACCTGCATCACTTCGGTTTTTTCTCCCACATCAAGTTGGCACGCCGTGATATAATTGAACCACTGGTCAAAGCGGCGTCAAACCCAACTCACTCAAAGCGGCGTTTAGCCAATCCTCTCGCAAAAGTGCATCCAAATAAATATTTTTTTGTTCCACAGCAAGTGCTACTGAGCATCAGTTCCACCATCTCCATCCCCCTCGTGGTGTCCGGCAACATCTGCGCCGGCGACATGGAGCTGGTCAAGTCGGAGATCATGTCCACCTTCCTCGTGATGTGTGGCACGTGTACCATCCTGCAGTGTGTCATCGGTGTGAGGTGAGGGCGTGTGTACCATCCTGCAGTGTTTGGTCGGTGTGAGGTGAGGGCGTATGTACCATCCTGCAGTGTGACATCGGTGTGAGGTGAGGGCGTGTGTACATCCTGCAGTGTGTCGGTGTGAGGTGAGGGCGTGTGTACCATCCTGCAGTGTGTGGTCGGTGTGAGGCGAGGGCGTGTGTACATCATGCAGTGTGTGGTCGGTGTGAGGTGAGGGCGTGTGTACATCATGCAGTGTGTGGTCGGTGTGAGGTGAGGGCGTGTGTACCATCCTGCAGTGTGTCATCGGTGTGAGGTGAGGGCGTGTGTACTATCCTGCAGTGTGTGGTCGGTTTAAGGTGAGGGCGTGTGTACCATCCTGCAGTGTGTGGTCGGTGTGAGGTGGAGGCGTGTGTATCATCCTGCAGTGTGTGGTCGGTGTGAGGTGAGGGCGTGTGTACCATCCTGCAGTATGTGGTCGGTGCGAGGCGAGGGCGTGTGTACCATCCTGCAGTGTGTCGGTATGAGGTGAGGGCGTGTGTACCATCCTGCAGTGTGTCATCGGTGTGAGGTGAGGGCGTGTGTACCATCCTGCAGTGTGTGGTCGGTGTGAGGTGAGGGCGTGTGTACCATCCTGCAGTATGTGGTCGGTGCGAGGCGAGGGCGTGTGTACCATCCTGCAGTGTGTCGGTATGAGGTGAGGGCGTGTGTACCATCCTGCAGTGTGTCATCGGTGTGAGGTGAGGGCGTGTGTACCATCCTGCAGTGTGTGGTCGGTGTGAGGTGAGGGCGTGTGTACCATCCTGCAGTATGTGGTCGGTGCGAGGCGAGGGCGTGTGTACCATCCTGCAGTGTTTGGTCGGTGTGAGGTGAGGGCGTGTGTACCATCCTGCAGTGTGTCATCGGTGTGAGGTGAGGGCGTGTGTACCATCCTGCAGTATGTGGTCGGTGTGAGGTGAGGGCGTGTGTACCATCCTTCAGTGTGTGGTCGGTGTGAGGTGAGGGCGTGTGTACCATCCTGCAGTATGTGGTCGGTGTGAGGTAAGGGCATGTGTACCATCCTGCAAGGCTTGGTCGGTGTGAGGTGAGGGCGTGTGTACCATCCTGCAGTGTGTGGTCGGTGTGAGGTGAGGGCGTGTGTACAATCCTTCAGTGTGTCATCGGTGTGAGGTGAGGGCGTGTGTACCATCCTGCAGTATGTGGTCGGTGTGAGGTGATGGCGTGTGTACCATCCTGCAGTGTGTAGTCGGTGTGAGGTGTGGGCGTGTGTACCATCCTGCAGTGTTTGGTCGGTGTGAGGTGAGGGCGTGTGTACATCCTGCAGTGTGTCATCGGTGTGAGGTGAGGGCGTGTGTACCATCCTGCAGTGTGTCGTCGGTGTGAGGTGAGGGCGTGTGTACCATCCTGCAGTATTTAGTCGGTGTGAGGTGAGGGCGTGTGTACCATCCTGCAGTGTGTCGTCGGTGTGAGGTGAGGGCGTGTGTACCATCCTGCAGTATGTGGTCGGTGTGAGGTGAGGGCGTGTGTACCATCCTGCAGTATTTAGTCGGTGTGAGGTGAGGGCGTGTGTACCAACCTGCAGTATGTGGTCCGTGTGAGGTGAGGGCGTGTGTACTATCCTGCAGTGTGTGGTCGGTGTGAGGTGAGGGCGTGTGTACATCCTGCAGTGTGTCATCGGTGTGAGGTGAGGGCGTGTGTACCATCCTGCAGTGTGTGGTCGGTGTGAGGTGAGGGCGTGTGTACCATCCTTCAGTGTGTGGTCGGTGTGAGGTGGAGGCGTGTGTACCATCCTGCAGTGTGACGTAGGTGTGAGGTGAGGGCGTGTGTACCATCCTTCAGTATGTGGTCGGTGTGAGGTGGGGGCGTGTGTACATCCTGCAGTGTGTCATCGGTGTGAGGTGAGGGCGTGTGTACCATCTCGCAGTATGTGGTCGGTGTGAGGTGAGGGCGGGTGTACAATCCTTCAGTGTGACGTCAGTGTGAGGTGAGGGCGTGTGTACCATCCTGCTGTATGTGGTCGGTGTGAGGTGATGGCGTGTGTACCATCCTTCAGTATGTGGTCGGTGTGAGGTGGGGGCGTGTGTACATCCTGCAGTGTGTCATCGGTGTGAGGTGAGGGCGTGTGTACCATCTCGCAGTATGTGGTCGGTGTGAGGTGAGGGCGGGTGTACAATCCTTCAGTGTGACGTCAGTGTGAGGTGAGGGCGTGTGTACTATCCTGCTGTATGTGGTCGGTGTGAGGTGAGGGCGTGTGTACCATCCTTCAGTGTGTGGTCGGTGTGAGGTGATGGCGTGTGTACATCCTGCAGTGTGTCATCGGTGTGAGGTGAGGGCGTGTGTACCATCCTGCAGTGTGTGGTCGGTGTGAGGTGAGAGCGTGTGTACATCCTGCAGTGTGTCATCGGTGTGAGGTGAGGGCGTGTGTACCATCCTGCAGTGTGTCGTCTTTGTGAGGTGAGGGCGTGTGTACCATCCTGCAGTATTTAGTCGGTGTGAGGTGGCGTGTGTACATCCTGCGTGTGTCATCGGTGTGAGGTGAGGGCGTGTGTACCATCTCGCAGTATGTGGTCGGTGTGAGGTGAGGGCGGGTGTACAATCCTTCAGTGTGACGTCAGTGTGAGGTGAGGGCGTGTGTACTATCCTGCTGTATGTGGTCGGTGTGAGGTGAGGGCGTGTGTACCATCCTTCAGTGTGTGGTCGGTGTGAGGTGATGGCGTGTGTACATCCTGCAGTGTGTCATCGGTGTGAGGTGAGGGCGTGTGTACCATCCTGCAGTGTGTGGTCGGTGTGAGGTGAGAGCGTGTGTACATCCTGCAGTGTGTCATCGGTGTGAGGTGAGGGCGTGTGTACCATCCTGCAGTGTGTCGTCTTTGTGAGGTGAGGGCGTGTGTACCATCCTGCAGTGTGTCGTCGGTGTGAGGTGAGGGCGTGTGTACCATCTTGCAGTGTGTCGTCGGTGTGAGGTGAGGGCGTGTGTGCCATCCTGCAGTGTGTCATCGGTGTGAGGTGAGGGCGTGTGTACAATCCTTCAGTGTGTCATCGGTGTGAGGTGAGGGCGTGTGTACCATCCTGCATTATGTGGTCGGTGTGAGGTGAGGGCGTGTGTACAATCCCTCAGCGTGACGTAGGTGTGAGGTGAGGGCGTGTGTACTATTCTGCAGTGTGTGGTCGATGTGTTTATACAGATTTTGAGTGACACTCTGACAGTGGGCGTCGTGATTTAACCTCATTCATTATTTCTAGACTTCCAATAATTCAAGGAGGATGTCACAAATTCCTGCCCGCTATTGCTGCTCTCATGGCCCTTGAACGATGGCAGTGCCCGGATCTAGGGACAGGTAACTTCATCATTTTACTGATCGTTATCCAAGCTTGAATTCCTTTGTGAGACATACCTAATATAGAAGCATCTCAGCTTCTTCTTAAAAAATATCTTCATTGTACATTACAATAGCTAACCAGCTATATATAAATACATTTTTGAGTCCTAATAAATATTATCTGAGCCTCAGTATTCAATTTGTATAACACTTACATTTCCTTTTCAAAGTTACGAATTCGAAATTCGAAATTCGACCCCTACCCATCTTTGATTATCTAGTATACTTCATCTCCATTCTATGATGGCTTCTGTCCTGAAACCCTTCCACAAGAGTTCCGTTTTGATCCCGATAAAAATGACACAGTTAAAATAAGCCATCCTATCACATGTCCCTCACAAGCGAGATAAATTCTGTCCTGAGCTAAAGATAGGAGAGATGGTGATGCCGACGTCACTTCCAAAACGAGGGGGCACGGTAGTCCCAGTCGTCTGGGGCGTCGCGATCAGCTGTGTAGAGTTGCGTCCCTTGGGCACGCCAGAAACCTATGATTCTGTGTTCGAATCCCGGTTCGCCCCGATTATGTTTCTAGGTTTGTCAGCACCATACCCGTGCTCGTGGGTTTCACCGAAGTGGTAAACGTCTTTCCTCCCTCACTCCAAAACGAACGAATGGTGGCGAATGTGCCCAGGTTATGTTTTATATTAGAATGGAGGTATAATACCCTGTCTCGCCCAGGGTGACCCACACCAGACCCGAGACCTTTAAAGAGTCCTGAATCATCCCTGAAGTATGTCGTCTTTTCGTCCTCTTCAGTGCTGATCCAGGTTGTATAAGCACGGACAAAGGTGGATGACCTTTATATTAGCATCATTAGGCTCTTTGTACCATTTTTGTCATGGCCGTTCACGTCTTCGAATGTAAAGGTCAAATGAGGTGCGTGATGACTCAGCAACCTTGTCAGCAATGAACCGAGGCGTATGCTGACCATTAAACACCGAAATCCAAGTATACAGCTTTTAACCCTCGTCAATAGAGCGTGACACCAAAGTGGCATTGCCCTAGGCTACTGGCGACCTATTTCTTAACGCCACAGAACACTTATATTAACACTTTATGCCAATAAGGTGTTTATATGTTTTATGTATATTTAAGTATTTTGTAATGAAAAACTTTATGATCAGAAAATATAAAACTGATATTAGACTCGAGTAAAATAACACTTTATGCCAATACTTTCAATCTGCTTGAATGGCAAATAGTTACCACACTCTATTGGTCAATAAGAAAATACATTATGAATAGAACAGTGGACTTTTCATATCAAATAACATGTTTTATCACATCGAGGCTTCATAAAGTGGACAGTTTCAATATCAACTTGTCAGGTCACTTGATGATAGAAGTATGTTATTTGACAAGAATAACAAGATAGCCTCTATATACCAAGACATTCCTTAGTCTCATGTTGGACAGACAGACAGACACACACACACACACACACACACGTACGCACGCACGCACGCACGCACGCACGCACGCACGCACGCACGCACGCACACACACACATCCAGACACAGACAGACAGGCGGACGGACGGACAGACAGACAACTGTAAACATGAAAGAATTTTGAGAATCGGCAATGTAGAATATAATAAGCCGCCCCCATATTTAAAGGGGGGATCATTTTCGGGCAATTTCCAATCTCGACCATTTTAGCTCGTCCATCAAAAACAACCTTATTCGTCTATAAACTCCTATTTAATCATGTATGGTCATCTATTTATGAGTGAGTGAGTGAGTGAGTGAGTGAGTATGTTTTACGCCGCTTTTAGCAATATTCCAGCAATATCACGGCGGGGGACACCAGAAATGGGCTTCACACATTGTACCCATGTCGGGAATCGAACCCGGGTCTTCGGCGTGACGAGCGGACGCTTTAACCACTAGGCTACCCGACCGCCCCCATCTATTTATGAACCCCTCGTTCAATGTTTCTGTTTGATACTAGACATGGTAACTGACCTCCTGTCACTGAAACACACTTCCCCTTAATATATAAGGTGTCCCTACTACCACAATGGGGACATGTATACACATACCCCTGAGAACCTGTTCTGAAAAACACAAGATTTATTTTCATCACGCAGTACTGGTATACGCAAAATATGATTTTAATTTTAATTTTCTGACATACTGTATCAATTGTGTGTGGAACTGAAAATAATAATTGCTTGCTCCTATTCTTCATTCTGTCCTTAAAATTACCAGATGGGCAAGTATTGAACGATGATGGATCCAACTCGTCGCTGACTAGAACTGATGTTTGGCAAATGCGAATGCGAGAGGTAAAGGTCGCTTCATGGATAAATCAATCAGAAACAAACGTTGTAGTTAACGCCACTGAGCGATATATATTGTTTGATACTCCTGTCTGCACCAGACAATCCAGTGATTAATGGTATGATCAACGATCCACGCCGTCGAGGTACGATGATATACGAAATACGCTACAGTCGGAAAGCTCCTATATCAGTCAGTCGGACATGGAGTCTGTTTTTCAATATTTTGATATTTCACTTACTTTTATCATAACCTTTTGCAAATTAACACAATTTGTCATACAAATATCTGATAAATCATGTATAAAAAAACAACCGAAAACATGGAAAATGTACTTTCAAGTAGTTATTGAATCGCTGAAATGTGAAGCGAAAATGTCAAAAACAAAAACGAACATGTCAAAAACAAAAGCGAAAATGTCAACAATTTAAATGAAAATACAGAAAACTATTGTCACCGCGGTGGAAATAGTTTTCTGTATTTTCATTTTAGTTTTTGACATTTTCGTTTTTGTTTTTGACATTTTCATTTTAGTTTTTGACATTTTCGTTTTTGTTATTGACATTTTCATTTTAGTTTTTGACATTTTCGCTTAACTTTTCACCGATTCAATATCTTCTTTATACATAATTTTTCACATATTTGTATGACAAACCGTGTTAATTTGCAAAAGGTTACGATAACAGCAGGTGAAATATCAAAATATTGAAAAAACAGACTCCATGTCCCTTATGGGCCACCGTAGATACTCCACGAAATCACAGAGCCTGTCCACCACAGAACATTATCATAAGCTCTGGGAATAGTATGTTGTAACATACCGTTCAGTAAAGTAGTGACAACGTTGCATTACAACCACCAGTATCAATAACAGTTATATTTATTTTCGTAAACAAGAGGGGGCACGGTTGGCCCAGTTGTCTAAGGCGCCGCGATTCGCTGTACAGAGTTGCGTCCCTTGGGCACGCCAGAAACCTATGGTTGTGGGTTCGAATCCCGGTTCGCCCCGATTATGTTTCTAGGTTTGTCAGCACCATACCCGTCCTCGTGGGTTTCACCGAAGTGGTAAACGTCTGAGACTTGCATCACTTCGGGCTTTCCTCCCTCATTAAAGCTGAAACGCCGTGATATAACTGGAATAGTGTTAAAAGCGGCGTTAAACACAACTCACTCACTCACTCGTAAACAAGAAACTATTGTAAGATCATTATTTACATTGAAATCCAGTCCTGGGTATGAAATTATACTTAACAAACCTGAAACATTTTTAAACGAAAAAAATGAATAATACAAATCTGATATGAAAAACAGAGGTCAACAACAAGTCATGTTTTTCTAACGTTGCCACAATAAAAAAAGAAACGTTGTTTGTTTGCTGGGACCCGCCGCTTCGCTATTTAAGTGCAATCAACATGACCACCCGGTCCATTAAGTCCTCTTACGACGTTGCAACGTTGGCTGCTGATGGCCAATTCTACCCCGGAATCTCCACGGGTGGAGGCTGTATGTAGTCCATTTACTGTTACTTGAAGAACGAGATACTATTCAGACACCACGCCCCCTCTCATCATGATTCTTTCCTGTTGTGATGCCAGTTTTCCGTGTATTTTTTTTCACATACAGATTCAGGGCGGTATTATGCTTGCCTCACTCGTGCAAGTTTTCGTTGGCTGCACGGGGTTCCTAGGGATTTTGCTACAGTTCCTTGGACCAATCACAATCGTCCCTACCATTAGTCTCGTCGGGCTGTCTCTGACTGGTGTTGCTCTGAACTTCTGCCAGAAACACTGGGGGATAACGGCATTGTAAGTAATTGCGAAGGTGTTTTTTTCTGTAAATTGTTTTTGAGAGGAAGGGATGTAATACAATAACGCACCATAATTATTATTTAGTACAGTAAAATACGTTTATAACGGTGGTCCATTTGAGTTCGTTTTAACCGTAGTTTACAATAATTGTAACATTCTATTTGGTTCAGTTGCACCTACCACTACTAAAGAAAATATATGAATTTAAGAAATGCATTATTTTTAGTTGAAGGTCGAATATATACACCTGAAAAAAACCCAGTTAAGCACAGCTTGTTATATATATTATATATTTTCCAACAAAATAGCCATTGCCAAGAACGGGTGGTGCTGATACTATTTCCAGATGTTTAGTTCGCTGTGTAGACTTAGTGAATGTGAGTAACGTGGAGTTTCAATTAACTGATTATTATGTTGTAAAAATCTTCCTTTATGAATGAGTGTTAAACATGCTTTGTATATATTATTCATTTATTCTATTTTTCCACATAAACGGTGACTGGATTGAGTCAGTTGTATGTGGATATACAGGCGGGAATATAATAGGTCTATATAATGTCCCATAGAAGGTGTTTTGTTTTTATTTGATGTAAGTTGTATTATTTCCACAGAACAGTAGGCCTAGTTTTCCTCTTCGCCCTCTACATGAGGAACATCCGGGTCCCGTTTCCAGCCTACACACGTGTCAAGGGATGTCACATGACCAGATACCCCATATTCAAACTCTTGCCAGTAAGTACTAACCAGTGTTCATTGCTGTTTACTATTAGTTTTTGACACATTAAAGGACTATTTACTGCGGATTCATACTTCTTATCAGTGTCATTGTTTTCAATTTCGAAATGAAGCTTATACTTTGGTAAAATGCATTGTATAAAGCTGTTTTTGAATGCAGCAGATAATGTCACCGTGCACCGATGTCGTGGATTATTGGTCACTCTGTCGACAACCGGTTCGTCCATACTGCATTATATTGTCCACTTTGCAGGTATTTCTAGCAGTGGTGATAGCTTGGTCATTCTGCGCCATACTCACCGTAACCAACGTCTTCCCGACGGAGGGAGATGCCAGATTTGCCAGAACGGACGTAAAGCTATCCGTGGTGGACAGTGCAAACTGGCTGTTTTTCCCATATCCAGGTACAAATATAGGTATAGACATACGCGGATCCGGTATCTGTTTGTGCGTGTGCTCGTGACCCCTTATTGATGGACATACGCAAATTGTTTCCGGATTAAGTGCCAGTAGTTTGTAGAAATATCATCCTCATTAAAATCAAATCTTAGTCCTCGATACCACTAAACAAAGATCTGAAGACATCGCATTAGGGGTCACGTCAGAACGACCTTTCATCCGACCAATCAGTGCGTCGCTTACCTGATCATGAAAGTGACAGTCGGAATGTGATTTCTAATCATGCAACCTCCAAAACTTAATATGGGGTATTCCGAATGAGAGTTACGGGCTTAACGACTGAATCCATACAATCTAGATCATCTATCTAGCCGTTCCAGAATGTTCTTTTGTTCAGGTTTCAAATTTTTAATCGAGAATTTGTCAAAATATGTTTCGCAGCGTAGTCGCCAGAAAGCGACCATTTTATTGCTGCACCCGAAAGAAAATCCCAGCTCCAATCCCAAACTGTTTGTCTCTTCCAGGGCAATGGGGTTTGCCTACAATAACAATTGCAAGCTTCATGGCGATGTTGGCAGCCACCATCACCTCCATCATTGAGTCTGTTGGTGATTACTACGCATGCGCACGAATCTCGGGTGCAGCACAACCGCCTGCGCATGCGATTAACCGCGGTATTGCAATCGAAGGATTTGGAAGTCTTATTTCCGGTGCAGTTGGATCAGGCGGCGCAACGACATCCTATAGCCAGAATGTTGGGGCTATAGGGTTTACAAAGGTTGGTAGTCGAATTATTACATGCAACTTTGAATATATAATCAGTAGTGCCAAGAAAAAAAGATATCCAACCAAGGGAAAGTGACAGTGTTTTCTAATCATGCAACCTCGAAAAGTTTAACACAGGGTATTCCGAACGACAGTTACCGGCGTCACGGCTAAATCAGTCAAAATTATCAGAAAACATACAACCTTGTGGATACCAATTTCTGGTTTATTGCATTGGGCGAAGTCGGATGTAAGTGCTATCACTGACTTCGCCAATGTAAGAATTTCCAAAAGAAATTACATCCGACAAATTTCAAGGTGTCAATAATTAGCACCAACGACATGGAATAAACAGTCTCGATTATATGGCGAAACAGATTCCATTGGGATCAAAAGGTAAAATACTGATGAAAATTATATGAATGGATCACTGAAAATCAGTGATGACACCAGGCGTTCGCAAAAAGGGTATGCACTACTGGACACCCCATACCTAATCAGGGGCGGTCGGGTAGCCTATTGGTTGAAGCGTTCGCTCGTCACGCCGAAGACCCGGGTTCGATTCCCGACATGAGTACAATGTGTGAAGCCCATTTCTGGTGTCCCCCGCCGTGACATTGCTGGAATATTGCTAACAGCGGCGTTAAACCATACTCACTCACCATACCTAATCATGATTATTGTAGGTTGCTAGCAGGGCAGCATTTATCACAGCGGGAGTCATCTTCCTCTTTTCGGGACTGATTGGCAAGGTTGGGGCGGTGCTGACGATGATGCCGGACCCAGTCCTCGGAGGAATCGTTGTCATTAGTTTCGGCATGGTGACGGCAGTTGGCTTGTCAACGTTGTCCTATATTGACCTGTCATCTGGGCGCAATCTGTGCATCATCGGATCGTCTTTACTTATTGGCTTGATGGTTCCCCAGTACTTCAGTAAAAACCCACAAGCTATAAACACAGGTAGGTGGGGCGCCTCGGCTCAGATGGGTCAGAGCGGGTCCAGTACTTCAACAGTTACCGACAGGCTATAAACACAGGTACTTCAACAGTAGTCTCGTGAAGATCCGGGTAGAGAGTAGGTCTTCAGCAACCCATGCTTGCCGTAACAGGCGACTATGCTTGTCGTAAGAGGCGACTAACGGGATCGGGTGGTCAGGCTCGCTAACTTGGTTGATGTATGTCATCGGATCCTAATTGCGTGGATCGATGCTCATGAAATCAATCACTGGATCGTCTGGTCCAGACTTTATTACAGACCGCTGTCATATAGCTGGAATATTGCTGAGTCTGACAACAAACAAACAAACAAGACTTCAACAGTAACCCACGGGCTGTAAAGAAACATACGTTTGGCGCCTTGGCTCTGCTGGGTTTGCCTCCAGTTGGACATAAACAGGCTGAACACTTCAACAGTATAACCCACGGGGTATAAACAGCTACAGGTGGTTCCTCATCCGTAAGCTATGGTTACATATATATGAAACGGGAAGTATATAGTGGCTGAGTGTCTAAGGCATACACTGTACATCCTAAACTTGGGAACAAAACAAATTTAGTTAAGATCCGATTCTTTTACTTCGATATACGATACCTCTCTAACAACCCTCAAGGAGGCTTCACTGTTATGAGGGAGTATATGAGATCTTCAATAGACTCCCTGTCTTTATTCATGGCATTTTGTCCTTTGTCGTTGTGGCTTGATGGGGTAGATAACCCTCGCGATCAGGGCGTGTCAACAGTATATCGTATCAAGTGTCCCCCTTTTTCAAACAGGGAACGAGGACTTGGATCAGGTTCTTACAGTTCTGCTGAGGACATCTATGTTTGTGGGTGGGATGCTCGCCTTCTTCCTGGACAACACTGTGCCTGGTGGGTCATAGAGATTGTGCAACAGATATGTAATCAGATTTATGTAACATACACTGCTAAAAATGTAGTATTTAAAGGATCTGTTCACTGATGCTCTGCTCAAGTATCGATCATAATTACTCTTGTAAATACAGTGACACCATGTTGAATCGGCCCCCATTTCTCTGGAATATTAAAGAGGACTTTGCTACCCGAGTGCAAAATCGGGTCTTCCGGAAGAGCTCGTTAAATCTCCAACATCATCAATGTTCCACGGTGTGGTGCCCATTTTTTGCCTTGTTCTGGAGATTGTCATTAATTTTATTATGTAACATTGATTCATTTTCTCTGGATAATAGGCAAGGTGAAATGGGGTTATTGCACTTATTAAGCGACGTACATGCACGTGTTGTGTGGCTGCTTTTACTAACCCGGACGTATGCCGGTTTGATAGTGATAGCTCACTGAGATGAGGTGAGGTGAGATGAGGTGAGGTGAGGTGAGGTGAAATGGGGTTTAACGTCGCACTTATACGATAATTACACTTATATAGCGACGTACATGCATGCATGCGTGCGTCTGTGGCTGCTTGTACTAGTCCGGACTGATGCCGATTGACAGGGCTAGCCATGCAACAGTTTAACACGAATACCCCACTCAGACACAGTATACTGACTCCTTGTTTAAGCCAGACAGGGTAACAACAAGTACCATATTTTAACGTCTTTTGGTATGACGCGACCTGGGATCGAACCCCGGCTCTACCACTAGACTACGGAGGCGGTCGCAACTCACTGAGATGCCATGCTGCAGTTAATAAGGTATACCCCCCTCAGAAACGTCATAAAATCTCCGAGCCGACCAATCCTTGTTTTATCTCTTTACTGCCGAACGCCGGGCAAGATGATAACAACTACCACCTTTTAACATTATGACGCGACCAGGGGGTGAACCGCCGACCTCTCCGGGCAGACCCTCTATCAACTTCGTCTCCGCGGTCATCGAAACATCGCATAACCATGACAAACCTGATTTTCACTTGTTGCAGGCACGGATGAGGAGAGGGGCATCCTACAATGGCGGAAACAAGCAGACCCCAGTTCTGCCAACGGCGATCACACCAGCATATACGATATTCCCATCATCACACCTCTGTTGAGGAAATGTCGATGTTCGCGTTACGTCCCCTTCTTGCCGACGTTTAACTTCCGAGTTGGCTCTCCTGTGAAGTACTTGATGAAGAAACTGCGGCGAAACAAAGGGCAGATGGCCGACACAAGACAAGATACGAAGTTATAATTTGCGATATCCATACGTATACTGTCGCCATTATTCCTGTAAACTCGAAAACAGACGACATACCTTATATTTTTGTTTGTTTGTTATAAATATGCAATTTATATGCTATCATATGCACGTATCAGTTTTAACAAATGTTTTCACAAATTTGGATCATTGTATTGTCTCCACGATCTAGTGCGTTGCCTTTCTCCATAATTAATTTGTTGTTTAACGACACACTCAGTAATAATACAGCTACATGGCTGCTTCCAGTAGATAATCGAGTCTGAACCAGTAAATCCAGTGATCGATATTGTGAGCAAAGATCCATGCCGTCGGGGTACGATGACACGCAATCAAACAAGTCATCGAACCAGACCATCCGATCCATTCGTCCGACCCTAACGACCAGCACAGCTTCCTAAACTTGTGGTATGTTTTCAACAATACGCTGGGGCACGGGCGGACCAGTTGTATAAGACGCCGCAATTCGCTGTGTAGAGTTGCGTCCCCTGGGATCGCCAGATTGTGGGTTCGAATCCCGGTTGCCCCGATTATGTTTGTAGGTTTGTAAGCACCATACCCGTACTAGTGGGGTTCACCAAAGTGGTAACGACTGAGACTTGCATCACTTCGGGCTTTCCGCCAATTTCATTAAAATCATATCTTAGTTCTTGCTACCGCTTAACAAAGATCTGAGGACACCCCATTGGGTCATGTCAGAACGACATTTAATCGCTTATCAGATCATGAAAGTGACAGTTGGAATGTGACGTTAGATCGTGCAATCTCGCAAAAACACACAGAGAGTATTCCGAACGACAGTTATGGGTTATATTTCTGTATTCATAAAATCTAGACCATCTATGGCCGTCCAGAATGTTCTATTGTTCAGTTTTTAATTCTTTAATCGAGTATATGTTCAAATATGTTTCGAAGCGTTATCATTGAAAGATAAAAAAAAATATCCCTATTAAATTTGCAGTAGAATATTACATTTTCAGTATTCTCGAGTCCAGCAGTGGTAAGTCCTCTTCAGTATGGAGGAGACCCGTGAAGATCCGGGGTAGAATAGGTCTTCAGCAACCCATGCTTGTCGTAAGAGGCGACGATGCTTGTCGAAAGAGTTTGGGTGGTTTGTTGTTTAACGCCGCACTCAGCAATTTTCAAGCTATGTGACGGCGGTCTGTAAATACTCGAGTCTGGACCAGACAATCCAGTGATTAATATCATGAGCATCGAGCCATACAATTGGGGCGACTAACGTTATCGGGTGGTCAGGCTCGCTGACTTGGTTGATGCATGTTATCTTATCCCAACTGCGTGGATCGATGCGCCTGAGATGTCTGGTCCAGACTCGATTATTTTCATACCGCCGTCACTTCGATGGAATATTGCTCAGTGCGGCGTTAAACAACAAAGAAACAAACAAAATATAGAGGAGCACTACATGCTTGAGAATGATGAAACTGTTTACGTTTTGTGGTCGAGATCCGGGGAGAATTTTGTGACACTGTTTTTATTGTGATATATGTGTTATAATCCTTAATCTGATTTGTCTAACTCATTATATAACTATATACATATATTATTTTTTATAAAAGAAGACGAGCATTTCACTATGCACATTAAATTTGAATATTAGTAATAAAATCCATCGACATACAAGCTGTTCTTGTGTACGTTTCTTACGCGCATATTTCTTTCTGGGAAATCGATGACTTGTCACTAAATATCAAAAAAGAGATTGGTGAAAAGGTACAGTTCATCTCTTGTTGCTCGGCAACCTTGTTCCCGACACATTATACATTGAATTATGTCGCGAGGGACAGACCTGAGGCGGGGTGTTTATCGTCGCAATGATTATCATATACTGAACAACAAAAGTTTCTGTGACATTGAATAAGATTTAATGCAAAGTTTAAAAAAAAAGTTTTTTACCAAATCTGAAACAATTTCGGTTTGCAACAGATGAAAGACTCCTGTAAGTGTTCAAATGGTTTAATTTGCCATACTGACTTCAGAAAATTGCGTGATTTCATTAAAAAACCATGAACATGCCAAAATATCAATTTACAAATCAATAGCATGAAACACATCTTCGTCTCATGGAATGGACCAGGCGTCGCACAAAGTCCTGTGGGATATCTGTCCGTGTCTGCTTGAGCATGTTTCGAAGTTCCTGGAGTGTCTGTGGAACACGTGGTTGACGTCGATGGCGCCGATCCATCTCATCCCTCATGTGCTCGATTGGTGAGAGATCAGGGGAGCGAGCCGGCCAGGGGATGACATTCATGTTGTTTTGTTGAAGAGAATCCCGAACAAGTCGAGCAATATGAGGCCGGGCGCTGTCATGTTGAAAGGTAATTCCTGGGCCATGACGACGCAAAAACGGTAGAACAACAGGGCCGATGATCTCGTCGCGGTAGCGCTGTCCATTGAGATTTCCCTCTACCACTATCAAACGGGTCCTCTGTCTTGCTGTAATCCCACCCCATACCATAACGCTGCCGCCACGGACCGATCTTCTTCCATGACACAATGATTGACGTAACGTTCACCTCGACGTCGGTACACTCGAATCCGTCCATCGCTGTGGCTGAGGTGAAAACGAGACTCGTCAGTGAATAGAACTTGTCCCCACTGCATGGCCGTCAAGCGTAGACGCTGTCTGCACCACTGTAGACGTGCTTGACGGTGGTTTCCTGTCTAAATTGGACGTTTGGCGGGTCTTCTTGCGACAATCCCTGCACATCTGAGGCGACTACGTACGCTTTGTGAAGATATTCGTCGAAGGCCAGGGATGCTTCTTGCAGTCACTGTTGCTGGCTGGAATCGATTTCGTAGGTGTGATGTTCGAATCCAGTTGTCTTGTCGATTATTGGTTACGCGTGGCCTCCCACTCCGAGGATGGTCTCTGACTGCATTCGTCTGTTGCCAACGTTGCCACAAACACCAACTGGTGTTTCTGTGGACGTTAAATTGTCTTGCAACATCCCGTTGACTCGATCCTGCTTCAAGCATACCAATGGCTCGCAGACGCTAATTTTTGGACTGGCGTGGCATTTCGTAATGTTGAATAATTGCGTAATGTTGTTGTTTTTCTGAGTGGTTGTTGTCAACACGATGCTGAACAATGCATTATGGAATCCTGTTATCGCACATGTTTTTATACCCATTCTTGGGTAGTGAAATGCATGGGGCTTGCATAAAAGTCAACTTTTGCATGGAATGCATGCTTTTCTGTATCAGTTGCGTTTTGGTGACTTGATTCCACACATGTACTGCAATATTGAAAACCAGACTTTACTTGTTTGAAAAAGACTCTAAAGTATTGGAGTCACGGGAACTTTTGTTGTTGAATATAGTTATATACTGAACCGTAAAAGAAACGTCACCATGGATAGATATATTAGAAACCTTATTTGTCCAAACACTGTAAACATACTTTGAGACATATTAAAAAGATGAAACTTGGCACAACTGTCCGCCATGTGCATTGATGACTGCCGTGCAACGTCGATACATGGAATGGATGAGGCGGTTGATGAAGGCCATAGGCACTTAAGCCCACACTCTGAGGAACGCCTGACGCAGTTCAGCTGCAGTTGCCGGCCTTGGTCGGACGTCATTCAGTCGTCTTTGAATCTCGTCCGACAGGTGCTCAATGGGATTTACATCGGGACAGGGCAGGCCACTGCATGGTTCTGATGCCATTCTGCTGGAGGAAGTCTTGTTGCTCTCGCAGTGTGGGCACGGGCGTTATCATGCTGAAACTCGTGGTTGCGGCGACGTGCCAAATGAGGTATTGCGTGTGGTCTCAAGACTTGATCAATTTACCGAGCTGCTGTGACACCATTGGCTCTCCCTAGACCTATGTTCTGGAAGACCACAGGTGCGACCCTCTGTGCAAGACCAATTCCACCCCACACCATGATGCTCGGATCACCCCAAGAGTCTCTCTCAACAACACAAGCATCCGAATAACGTTCCCCACGGCGTCGCCAGACTCTCTGTCTGCCATCTGCTGTTGAGACACAGTAACGGCTCTCGTCTGAGAAGAGGACTCTTCTCCACTGCTGGTGGCGCCAATGCTTGTGCTGTGTTGCCCACTGAATAGGGTCCCGGCGATGACGGGGTGTCAGAATGGGTCCTCGGTGTGGCCTGTGACAGTGGAGGTATCTGCTCGTCAATCGTCGACGAACGGTGTCCGCACTAATGTGTCACTGGTGTGTCCCCATGGTCTGTCGAGCAGTTTCCGCAGCAGTAACAAAGCGATCTTGAAGATGCTGTCGCACAATCTGACGATCCTGACGTCGGATGGTGACCCTTGGTCTTCCACTACGTGGTCGGTCATCTGTAGTGTTGGTGGTCTGGTACCGTTGCTGGAGCCTGTATGTGGTCCTTACGTTGGCTTGAAATGCATTGGCTACTTGCCGGGCGGTCTGCCCAGCTTGCAATCGTCCCAGGACTTGGTGTCGCTGATTTCTTGTCAATCTTGGCATGTGGTAGCAATTCAATAACGAATGAATGTAATCCGATCTGGGTGGATTTTTATAGGCAAGAAATGGGGGAACGCATGTGCATTTCAATTTGCACGGAACTCACGTGCATCGGGTTTCCATGGCCATTACGGTGATGCGTTTAGGCGATCAGCTTTGTTGTCATCTGCTTTGTTTTTTTTTATCATCAAATTTCCGGACAAGATAAAGTTCAATTTTAGAAACTTTGACAAAAATTACCCAGATATTTAAATGACAACTTTTCATACAATGTTACTTGGAGTGGCGTTTCTTTTGCTGTTCGATATATAATGGCAACATGTACGTTGGCACTGGACTGCATCACCAACGTCGTTGGGGTACGATAACACACAGTTATAAACCACCATACGTCTTTGCGTAACGTTAACAGTCACGGCTTTTCTGACATCCGGGTACCGGGATAGAATCTATTTTTAGAAAACGACGTCATTGAGCTAAAAATAAACCAGCCAAAGATCGCTATTTGGGATATTGATACCCTGTAAAATATCACTCCATTCCATAACACGTGCTAAAATGTTATACATTTCAGTTATATTACTGATACAGTAAAAGTGCAGATACCTTACCAAGTGTTAAGCCATTCCAAATATTTATAATAAAAATTGAATTGTGAACCCTTGTACACTGCTAAGCCTAAAAGTTTGGATTACAAAAGGCCTATTGATATGTTCAGCAATTTACATTGCTTAAAACATATTCCAAGAAGCAAAGAAAGATATGAAATAAATTATATGACTCTAAATGATGTACAAAGCCAGATATTTCTTTCAAAAAACAAACAGGTTAGTAATGGCGGCCATTTTGTAAAATGTCTATCATGGCCGACCGATATTGGGTCTTGACTGAGTTTACGTCAAGGAATCATTTTGAGACGCTAATAACTAGATATGCCCATTTTATGTGTGAATGAAACATATCAAAGCAGTCATGTGCTTTAATAGCTGTGTACCATACTGTTTTTAGAATGGTAATTTTGCCAAATGTCGGCCATTTTGGAAAATGGCTGCCCTGACTGCCATTGGCTTAATTTGAAAAAAAATCGACAACTAGAAATCTT